AGTTTTGTTTTTTTGAAAGGTGTAATAAAGTTTCCTTTTTCTCTTGTGCTATATTTATTAACGTTATTTATAAAAAAGTTATTTAAAAAATGGTTTGGTACTTGACCTAATTTAAATTTTAGCATAAACAATATATTTTGGTAAATATTAATTTGATAAATATTAAGCACATTCATTTTTTTAAATAAGGGTTCAGTGTGTGTAAATTTGTCTTTATGGTAGATTAGTCTAACAGCATGTTTCTGACGTCGATATAAAGTTTTCAATTTGGTTATATGCGTACTCGCCCAAGCTATATTCGCATATATGAGGTAGCTATGTATAAAAGAGAAATATATAAGTTTTAAATTACTTTGTGACAGCATAGGTTTTGCTTTATAAAGTAGACCTATGTTTTTTGATATTTTAGTGTTTAAAGCATTTATGTGACTTTTCCAAGATAAATTTTCATCAATTATAACTCCTAAAAATTTAGTTTCGTGAGTTCTCTCAATTACTATATTTTCTATTTTTAGAGAGGGTAGAATATTTGGTAGTGTGTTTCTTTGTTGGTTTGAGTGAAATAAAGTGTATTTTGTTTTTTCTATGTTTATGGATAAATTATTTGTTTTAAACCATATATTTAATATTTGGAGTTCTATGTTTACATTATCATACAGATCCTTGATGTTTGTCGAAGAGTAAAATAAATTTGTATCGTCTGCAAACATTATAAATTCAAGTTTGCTAGAAACTTTTGGAAGGTCGTTTATATAGATTAGGAACAAAAGAGGAGCAAGAATCGAACCTTGAGGAACACCACAAGTTAATTTTAATAATTTACTGTGGTAATTATCATCTGTAATAACACACTGTTGTCTGTTATACAGGTAACTTTTAAACCACTGCAGTGTATGGTTTTTTAATCCGTATTTTTCCAACTTTTTTAGTAGGATTTCATGATTTATTGTGTCGAACGCTTTTGACAAGTCTACAAAGACTCCTAATACGAACTTCTTTTCATAGATTGATTCACTAATTCTATTGACGAGGTCTACGATAGCATGCTCTGTCGAGTGCTGAGTTTGAAAAACATATTGGTTTTCATTCAGGATTTTGTTTGTGGTTAGGTATTTATATAAACGATTGTAGATTATTCGTTCGAGCAGTTTTGAAAATACGGGAAGGATTGATATTGGTCTGTAATTATTTAAGGAAGATGTATCTCCGGATTTATAGATAGGAATAATTTTAGCTATTTTTAAATAGTCGGGTACAATTCCTGTAATTATTGAAGAGTTAAATATTTGAAAAATGGGTTTACTTATTTCTGGGAAGACATTCAAAATAATATTGGCTGGGATATTGTCGATACCTGGACCTTTGTTAATTTTAAATGTTTTAATTGCTGTTTCAGGTTCTTCGTATTCTAGTTCTTTAAAAACTAGGGAGCAACGAGAGTCCTCGATGTAATTCTCAAATGAATTGTTTGTAGGTTTAATTTTAGAGGCGAGTTTGGAACCTATACTTGCAAAGTATTTGTTAAATTTTTCAGAGATAATTTTTTTATTATTAAACTCTTTTTCACTTATGAGAACTTTTGGAGGTAGTTGGTTCAAGTTTTTTTTATCTTTACCAATTATTTCTTTTATAATATCCCAGATTTTTTTATTATCTCCTTTAAATTTTTGTATTTGCTTTAAAAAATATAGTTTTTTGGATTTTAATTTTATTTTTTCAAATAGATTTTTATAATGTTTATACTTAGACAAATTAAAATGGTTTCTATTTTTTAGATATTTTATGTAGAGTTTTTGTTTTTGTTTTGACGATTTTCTTATTCCTTGGGTATCCATGGAGTGGTTAGGTATTTTGCTTTAATTTCTTTTTCGACCTTTGGAAAATGTTTATTGTAGAGATTTAGGAAAATATTTATAAACTTATTGTAAGCGGAATTTGTGTGTCCGAGGTTACATTCATGATATATTTTTGACCAATTTACTACCGCTAGTGAGTCTTTTAGTTTTTGGGTCGAGAATTTATTTATGCTTCTTTTGATGATTTTTATTTTCAAGTTATTGACACGTGTTGCTTGTTGTGATAGTGAGAAGTAAATTGGGAAGTGGTCAGATATATCCGTTTTAATTATTCCTACTTTTAAGGATGGATCTTGAATTGAATTTGTCAATATATTGTCAATAGCTGTTATTGAGGTGGGAGTTACCCGGGTGGGTTTGTTTATAATTGGGAAAATGTAATGTTGTATCATATCATCGAAAAAAATTTTGGTATTAGCGTGTTCATGATAGCTTAGATAATTTATGTTCATGTCACCAACACAGAATAGCTTTTTATGTTCAACATTGCTTGTTGTATATATTTGTTTCATAAAACTTGAAAACATTATAATATCTCCATCGTGCGGTCTATAACAAGAGGATATTAAGAGATTTTTTGTAGTATCATTAATGACTTCAACTGTAAAGACCTCACTATTTGAATCAGAAATAGAAAGATCATTTCTAATTTTTGTGTTTAATTCATTATGGATGTATGTTATTATTCCACCTCCTCTTTTGTTAGCTTTTCTTTCATAAGAAATAAGATTATAATTAGGGATTAGGAAGTTTGAGTTTGTATAAGAATTTTCGTCAGAACACCAAGTTTCTGTAAGACAAATCATGCTAAAGGAATATTTGCATTCGAAAAGGAAAATTTTTAACTTATCTATATTTGTATTTAAGCTCCTAATGTTTTTGTGTATTACCGTAAACTCGTCTATATTGTTATGAAGTTCAGCTTTAAAAGTTTTAGTATCAAAGTATGGAGAGTCAGGTCCATTAAAAATAAATAAATCGTCGTCGTATAAATCATTCGCAAAGATATTATTTTTAGTTTTAAAAAAGTCAAAACGCAACTTATCAAAATCTTTTGTTATAAAATCATAAGCCAGGACGAAAAAAGAATTGAATCAATTTTTTTTTTTTAATAGAATTCGATTTGAGTAAAGTTATTTTTGAAAGCGCGTATTTTTAAAATCTCGACTAAAAATTTTATCATTCTTTAAAATAGCGTATTTACCTTCGCTACGTAATTTTTTCATTTCTTCCCAAAGCTTCCTTCGATGTTCGATAGTTTCTTGGGCAAAATCTTCGTTTATGTAAATGCCAGTTCCTTTAAGATGCAATCACACGATGTAAATAATGCTTATGATTTATTTCTAAATCAATTTTCTAAAATGTATGATAAGGCATTTCCTTTAAAAGTGAAAGTAATAAACTCAAAGTCGGTTGTATCCCCATGGATGACCAAAGGCCTAATAAAATTATCAAGGAAAAAACAAAAATTGTATGATAAATATTTAAAAAATAAAACTATTAAAAATGAAACTAATTACAAAAATTATAAAAATTTATTTGAAAAAACTTAAAAACGATCAAAAGTAAATTACTATGCTAAACTGCTTGAAAAAAAAACAAAGGAAACCCTCAAAAAACGTGGAATATTATTAGAGACTTAATTGGGAAAAATAAAATTGAAAAAAACAACTTACCGCAAAAAAAAAAAAAATGATTTATCATAATGAAGTTATTATTGAGAAATTAAACAATTTTTTTTTGATGTTGGCCCAAACCTAGCAGCGAAAATTCCAGTTGGTCAAAAAAAATTTGATTCATATCTTGCAACAACTGATTTATTTATGGAAGAACCGATTTTAACCAAAAGTGAACTACATACTGCTTTTAATAGTCTGAAAAAAAATAAAAGTACAGGTATAGATCAAATTAATATTAATTAAATCTGTTTTTGATATTATCGAACCCTTATTATTCCATATTTTTAATCTCTTCTTTAAATCAGGTCATATTCCAGATAAACTAAAAATTGCAAAAATAACATCTATTTTTAAATCTGGCGATGAGACCAATATTTCAAACTACAGACCAATCTCAGTCTTACCCTGCTTTTCTAAACTAATTGAAGAGGTATTCCATGAGAAAGTGGGACATGTAACCCACCATCTCAGTATGTAACCCACCATCTCAGATGTAACCCACCATCTCAGATTTTCTTCATACTTTGTAAAAATAGCTATCTATATAAAATAGACTACCTTGCAAAATTTTAGTGCTGATATCAAAGGGGTTTTGGAGTTATTGTTACTTTAAAATCAGCTATTTTTAGCAGTTTTTTCTGTTTGGCGGCCATTTTGATTTTACAATAGTTTTTGTTTTACAAGTTACTGTTTAACTAAACATGTAATTAAGCTGAAAATTAGCACCTATATAGTTTTTAGGACGAGGAATCAGAATATAATATTTGTTTTTAATGAGAATATTTAGAACTATATCAATATTGCGATTGTACTTCACCTACAGATATTTTTGAAATTTTACCAAAGGCAAAAAGGAGGTCTGGTAACTATGGCAGCATTATTTTTTTGTGATTTTTTTTTTGTTTTTATTAAAATAGATATTCTAATGAGTTTTTTAGTGCAAAATTTAGAGGTGGATTTTTTGAAATTTTTTCTAATAATATAGGAGTATTATGTGAAAAAATAAGTATTATAGGTCTGTGTTCATAATTTTATTTTAAATTAATTGACATTTACAATTTTCATTAGTTATCAAAAATATTATACAAAAGAAATCCTTTTAACCTATTATTTAAAGAAACTTTAATTCAAATGAATATTTCTTTTTTAAATAAATTTTTGCTTTCTAATTAATGACATATTATGTCATCTTTGACTAAAACAGAAGAAAAACTCAATATTTAAAACCCTAAGACTTAGTCTGATTACCCTGATGTTTTACCAGCTGTTGTTTGTTCTCCATAGCTAATCATTAATTTAAAAAAATATATAAAAGCAAAGTTAAAAAAATAAATACATAAAATGCTATATATTGTACATCTTTAAAAATACTAATTATAAATGGTAAATATTTTTTCCATTTTTAATAAATGTATTAAAATGTATTAAATATGTCTGTGTATTTTGTGTTTATTTATAGCTTAATTAAATATTGAAAAAATAAAATGAACAAGATTTTATGTACAGTTGGTATTTTATCAAATGATCAATGCCATAAAATGGTGTACACTAAATCAATTGGATTGAAAGATTTATCAAGCTATTCAGAGAAAGATAGAAATTTATTATTATGGAGATTGGGCTAAGAATATTAAACGTTAATGTTAAAATCTGTTTACACCATGAACAAATTTTACTTAACCGGTTTGCCAACTCCCAAAAAATTGCATCGATCCATTTAAAAAGCATAAAACTAATATAAATGGTAGATTTTTACGTTTTTAACTTATTGTGCTGTCTTTTTACAAAAAATACATCTAGTACACTTTCAATTAGTTTAAAAAATTTTAATTTTTTTATTTTATTCCTAACATTATTATATTATCTAAATTAGTATTTCCTAATTTTGGCAAATTTTATTCATTTATAATATATTTATAGGTGGTTTGCGAGAAATTGATATTCAACTGGCAAAAGATATGTGTTAAATTGGTATTAAAACAACACCTGGTTTTAAAATGTGTCCTTCATGTCGAAAAGAAGTGGTAAAAAAAATAAATAATTGGTCTACCTTACACGACCACAATGGTGAAGATGATTTCCAGAAAAAACTAACATTGTTAGAATTGAATCAGATATTATTAATAAGGTGGACAGCTTATATCGTAATGATCAGTTTAGTAGACAGTTGCCAGGTATAAAAGATTTTGTAAGTGTATCCAAAAATAAACATGTATCAAAGCGATTACTTCTTTGCAATTTAAAGGAATTCATTATTGAATTCAAACTAGAACACCCTCAATCCAAAATAGGATTTTCTAAATTTGCTCAGTTAAAGCCAAAATGGTGTATTTATGCTGGTCAAAAAGGAACCCATGCTGTTTGTATATGCGCAAAACACCAAAACCTAAAGCTTATGCTTTGCACAGTTAAACTGGAGAAGAATTACCATGAACTTATTGAGAAGATTGTTTGTAGCAAGAGTCAAGGGAATGCATCGTCCATAGATGTAATCAATGTCCTGGAATTCAAAATATTATAAATTATATGACTGCAAATCTATTGCAAAATGAAGGATCATTTGAAGAGAATGACAAAGTGGATGAAGATGAAACAATTGAATACAAACAATGGAGTACAACAGATAGAGCAGAGCTTCTAAGTAACACATCTACAATAAGTCAATTCATTGAATGTCTTAGTGCAAAACTTGATAGCATAACATCTCACTCTTATATTGCTAAAGCACAAAGTAAATATTTAAATACATTAAAGTCATCTATACCCATAAATGAAATTATTATTTTAGTTGATTTTGCAGAAAACTTTAAATTTATCATACAAGACGAAATCCAGAGTTACCACTGGAACCAACAGCAATGCACACTACATCCTGTAGTTATTTATAACAAAAATGATGAGGGTTCTACTAAAAGTCAACCAACATCTCTATGTTTTATATCTGATGACTTAACACACGATGTTGGGTTTATTTATTGTATAGTAAAAAGAACTGTCCAAATTGTTCAAGAAATGTTTCCCAATACCATAAAAATCCACTATTTCTCTGATGGTTGTGCTGGTCAGTACAAAAATTAAAAACATTTTTTTAAATTTATGCTATCATGTTGAAGATTTTGGGATGCAATGTGAATGGAATTTTTTTGCAACATCACATGGAAAGTCACCATGTGATGGCATTGGTGGAACAGTTAAAAGACTTGTTTCAAATGCTAGTCTTCAACGTCCAATTGACTTACAAACTCAGAGCGCTGAAGAAATGTTTAATTTTTCAAAAGATAACATATTTGGCATCCACTTCTTTTTTTTAAAAGGCGAAAATATTTTATCAGTCCGTAAATCTCTGACTCTCCAATTGAATAATGCAAAGACTTTATCTGGTACAAGAAGTTTCCACCAATTTATTCCACAGGATGCAACAAGCATATGATGCAACAAACATAAATGTCAAAAGAGTCTCTGAGCAGGAGGACTTTAATCTAACATTCAACCTTACTGGCTCAATTCAATATCTTCAATTCAAATCATTGTAGGAAAATATTATATCTGCAAATATGATATGTTTAACTGGGTTGGTTTGGTATTTGAAGTTGATGAAACAAATGAAAATGCCCTTGTAAAATTCATGCATCCTCATTTACCTAACACTTCATTACACTGGCCAAATGAAGATGATTGTTGTTAGGTTCCTAAGCCCCATATTTTAATTATGATAAAAAAAATCATCATCTTCAAGATCAGGGTACATATACCAGATAGACACAGATGATTTGCATAAAATCCAATTTTTAAATTAACTCAATCATATTACGCCAGTTTTCTCTTAGAAGCAATTTATGAATTATTCAGATACAAGTTCTGGTTTTTTATTGACTAGTTTTTTATTTAAAACTTGTATTTGTTTGATTACTTTGACTTAATATATTACATCTATTATGAATTTTTCATTTTAACTTTTGTTAATGGTTTTTTTTTTCTTATAATGGAAGTTTTCAAAATAAGAAATTTCTTAATAAGTAACATCCAAACGTACTTTTTCATTATAATTCATTTAATTATTTTTAAAAATCCTCAAAAAACCCACCTCTCAATTTTGTACCAAAACACTCTTTAATATATCTAGTTTAATAAAACAAAAAAAAAATTTAAAAAAGTTAATGCTACCATGGTTACCAGACCTCTTTTCTGCTTTTGTTAAAATTTCAAAAATAGTTATAGGTGAAGTACAATCCCAATATTAATAAACTTCAAATTATTTTCATTAAAAACAAATATTATATTCCGATTCCTCGTCCTAAAAACTATATAGGTGCTAATTTTCAGCTTAATTACATGTTTAGTTAAACAGTAACTTGTAAAACAAAAACTATAGTAAAATCAAAATGGCCGCCGAACAAAAAAAACTGCTAAAAATAGCTGATTTTAAAGTAAAAGTATCTCCAAAACCCCTTTGATATTAGTGCTAAAATTTTGCAAGTTAGTCTATGTTATATAGATGACCATTTTTACAAAGTATAAAGGAAATCTGAGATGGTGGGTTACAAACCTTAAAAATTTGTCCCACTTTCTCATGGAATACCTCTGAACGCATTATGTACAACAGACTTTATAAATATCTGAAAATAAAATTTTATATAATAATCAATACGGTTTAAAAAAAAATTATTCTACTGACCATGCAATAATTGAATTGGTTAAGCATATATCAAATGGATTTAATAGTGATTGCTATACAATAGGGTTTTTTATTGATTTATCCAAAGCTTTCGACACAATAAATCATGAAATTCTTTTGAAAAAATTAGAAAACTATGGTGTTAAAAATCAAAGTTTACTTTGGTTTAAATCATACTTAACTAACAGAAAGCAGTTTATACTTGAAGAACCAAAAGACTCAAAAAACAACTTAATAGCTTGTGGAGTACCCCAAGGTTCTATTTTGGGACCATTATTGTTCTTACTTTATATAAATGATTTATATTTATCATCAAAAGTATTAAATACTATCTTATTTGTTGATGACACTAATTTGTTTTATTCTCACAAAGATATTTGTGCTCTTTTTAAAATATTTAACGAAGAATTAGATAAGATCAACGAGTGGTTTATAAGTGGTTTATAACCAACTATCATTAAATGAAGAGAAAACAAAATTTATCCTATTCCATAAACCTAGTAAAGCCGAAAATATTTCACTTAAACTACCCAATCTTTTAATCAATAGTAAAATAATTAAAAAAGAATTGACTACAAACTTTCTGGGAGTGCTCTTAGATGAAAAATTGTCATAGAAATTTCATATTAAATATATTGAAGGTAAAATCTCAAAAAATATTGCCACGTTATATCGAACAAAACCTTTTCCTAATAAATTTTTAAAAAATTTATATTTTTCGTTTATACACAGCTATCTTTCATACTGTAACATTTCCTAAGGTAGCACTAATCACACTAAACTCAAAAAAGTTTATAGTAAACAAAAACATGTTTGGAGGATAGTATTTGGGGCAAATAAAAAACACAATGCGAACCTCTCTTACGTCAGCTTGGAGCTTTAAATATTTATAAGCTTAATATTTATCAAGTAATATTATTTATGTTTAAAGCAAAACTTGGGTTTTCTCCAGTAACATTTCAATCCTACTTTAATGAAATCTCCCATAAATATCCAACCTTATTTTCAGTGAATAACTTTGTGGTTCCCATAAACCTTCTTAAATTAAGTTTGTACCAAATTCAATATCGGGGACCTTTAGTTTGGAAAAGATTTCTTCCATTCTTTAACAAAAAACAAAACTTCGTTTTAAACTGCACTTTGCAAAGTTTTAAGGATGATTCAAAACGACATTTACTAAGTTTTAAGGATGATTCAAAACGACATTTACTGAACATGGAATTCGATATATTAGATTTCAAATACCTTTTTTGAAAACAATTTAAAGGTTTAAACTAAATCACTTAAAAATAAATTAAATCATTAACACTTTCTTTTGCTTTTATTAAAATGGTTTCAAACCATTAGTATAAAAGATAACGAAAATTGTCTTTTTCGTTCATATTTTTGATGATATTAAATAATCAGCCCAAATACTTATGTTTACATATATTGCTTCTTTTTTTTTTAAATTAAACAACGCATTTTGTGTGTGTGTGTGTTTTTATAACTTTCATGATTTTCTGTCGTTTTTACTTTTTTATTTTTAAAATTATTCTGCTGGAAGATTGTTAGCAACAACTTTTTTTATTGCTGAAGTTTTTTTGTTTTTGTTTTTGTATTTATACTGTCTTTTTGTCTTTTATCATTTATTGTGCATGTAAATTTTTGTGTGACGGGGCTCGGTGATAAGACAACCTGTCTTCTTCTTGCTCCGGCCAGGATTTTCTTTATTGTAATTTCTTTTTTGTAATATTTATCAACGGCAAAAAAAAAAAAATAAATAAATAAAAAATAATAATAAATATATATGTATATATGTATACATATATATATATATATATATATATATATATATATATATATATATATATATATATATATATATATATATATATATATATATATATATATATTAGGGTAAGCCAAAAACAAAAAAAATTGAAAATTTAACATGTCTGCAAAAAAACGAGATCCTTTTCACATATGAATACAAATTATAAAAAAAAATTTGGAAAAAAATATCATTGAGTGCTGCCGAATTTGATTTGATTATTTTCACTTTTAGTCTAAAATATGTCAAAATTAGGATTTTGTTAGAAAATGAAAAAAGATTTGAATTTTTATATCTATAGGAAATATTTCTTATTTGAAGCTGTTGGTCAAAAACGTGTTGCTTTTAATAGGCAACACGTTTTTGACCCTTTTTGGACTTCTCCCATGTATCATTTTGTGTTACTTGTTTATCAACTCCTACCCCGCCCCCTCTTTTATGCGCAGTGCTATTATTGTTAAAAAAGATATATCTCCAAGGAGTTTTTTGCTAAAAGTTTACTTCCGCTATAAAAAGAATTGTAATTAAAAGTTTTTTTTTCATGTCACCTTGTAGCTAACCACCCTCCCCATGTGATATTTGGTGACACTTAATACTCCTCACCTATATGGGGAGGAGTATTAAGTGTCACCAATACTCAATACTCCTCACCTATATGGGGAGGAGTATTGAGTATTGGTATTCACCAATACTCAATACTCCTCACCTATATGGGGAGGATTAATACTCCTCACCTATATGGGGAGGGGTTTACCACAATACAAGTAATAACTGCTTTTATAACCCCTTTTTAAATGATATATTGCCTGAATTACATAAGAGTTATTTTATTTGGAAAAAAATTATATTGGGGCTATTCAAATAATATGTGACAGTCTTATGGACAGGCTAATGAAAAGCAAAAAAGCTAATAAAAAAGCGGTTATTATTTATACTTAGCTAAATCAATGAATAGCTGCTTCTTATTAGAATTCCCTACAATTTTTCTGTGATTTTTGACCACGTTAAAAACTTCGTTTTGTACAGCTTCGTCCTAAAGATAAGAAATGTTATTTTAATCTTTTCTAAAAGTTTTTATGATTATGTAGATTTCTTAACTGCCTTCTCAACTAATTTTACGGTTTAGCTTTAAAAGTATTTGGAGATAATTTTACGGTTTACCTTTGTAAGTATTTGGAGATAATTTTACGGTTTACCTTTGTAAGTATTTGAAGATAATTTTACGGTTTACCTTTGCAAGTATTTGGAGATAATCGGAACACAACTTAATTCTTCTCTCAGCCGCGACATTAATCACTTTTAGAGTTTTGATAAACAGCTTCATTTTTAAATAGTTACCATTGTCGTCCCATTCTGAAGAAGGAATTTTAAGCCATTTTTCATCATCTTTTAAATTATAAAAAATTAAACAAGACCCAATATAAGAAAAAAGATCTGAATTTTTTCTAATCAGTGGAAGAGATGGTTTACCGAAATTGATTCCAAGTGGTTTTCCGTATTCTAGAATTTTCTTTACAATATTATCTTTATCATTTAGAGAAAGTTTTTTTTTAAAAATAAACTTAATACAGACACCTGCTCGGTTAGATACCAAGAGTATCTGCTTAAAACATGTTGGGCTTTTTCAGCAGGTACACGGAAGTTTGGTATATTTTTTAGTGCTTCTAGATTATTAAATAATTCTATATCATTAATTGGTGCATCGCAAGTTTTCGACGCACAGTGGAAAATAAAAGTCTGTTTTAGATCAAAAATCAATAACTTTTTTGTTACAAAAGATAAAGTGTTGAAATTTTGCACAAATGTAGAGTAGTATATGGGGTTTCTAAGAAAATATTTTTTATAAAAAAAATTTAATATAAAACTCGTAAATAAAAATCAAAAACCTCACAATTTTCATTTTTTTTTTACTTTTAACTAAACATGTTCTTTTTAATTTTATTTAAAAACTTTAAAAATATTTTTAAGAGTTAAAGTGTTCCGTAAGCCCATCAACAGCTAGCCGTGCTAGCTCGTGCGAAATTGCACGGAAGATGATGCGCTGTAGTAATTATTAAAGCTGATCGAATTTCGCTTTGAAGCGATTGACACTGGTAGCACTGACTACTACGTTAGGTAATGCGTTCCATGGGTGAGCGACGCGGTTGTTGAAGGAATTATAGCGAACGAGGCAGTTGTTGTCCATTTCACGATGAAAACGCTTGCGATGACCGTAGCTAGGTGGGATGTTAGGTGGATCTATATGCCAGCTAATTGAGTTAATACTGTTTTTGAATTTATATTTTTGAATGAGGTCACCGCGTAAACGTCTATTTAATAGAGAGGTGAGACCGAGTTTGATGCATCTTGTCTCGTAATCGAAGCGCTTTATTTCGTGCGGTACTTTGGTAACCCGATGCTGAACACGTTCTATGACATTTATGTCTTTTTCAAGATGCGGGCACCAGGCAGTAACTGCAAACTCGAGATGTGGGCGTATATAAGTGGTGTAAAATTCTCCATATTTTGGTATCTCTGCTTATAAACGTGTTTCTGCTTGTAAACGGAAATTTGAACGCCTAGATCTTTTTCGGATGTTGAAGACTCGATTACTGTTCTAGTGACGCTACCGTTAGCGTCGTACTCGTTCATTAAATAAATGTGTGGGGAAACATTGTACTTACTGAAATGCATGACTTTGCATTTCTTGATGTTGAGTTCCATTAACCAGGTTCGAGTCCAGGTAACAACGCTATCTATATCGGATTGCAGACGAGCTTTGTCTTTAGTGGTTTTGACGACACTCAGGATTTTAGTATCGTCTGCATACATTTTACATAAGTTTTCGCTATTGATGTGTTCGGGTAAGTCATTAATAAATATTATGAACAGCGTAGGACCTAGCACTGAACCTTGCGGAACGCCACTGGTAACCTTTACCCAGGTGGATGACGTATTACCTAATATGACACGCTGTGATCTATTTGAAAGGAAAGCTTTTATCCAGTTAAGAACGTTACCTTCGATTCCGTAGGATTCAAGTTTTTGAAGTAATCTTCTGTGAGAGACTTTATCGAAGGCTTTGGCGAAGTCAAGAAAAAGAACATCTATAGGAAGCTTGCGAGAAACGTTGTAGGTCAGAAAGTCCATGGCCTCAAGCAGATTCGTGACGCAGGTTTTTTTATTGACGAAGCCGTGCTGGCAATCGGCAATAAGTTTATGAGCTACAAGGTGCTGTATGATCTTTTCTTTAACAATTTTTTCCATTATTTTGCATGGTACTGAGGTGATGGAGATAGGCCTATAGTCTTCTGGGTCGAGTCTGGAGTCTTTTTTGAACAGTGGCGTCACGTTTGCCGAGAGCCACGCTTTTGAGACTACACCTTGATCCATCGATTTCTGAAAAATGATGGCAAGCGGGGTAGCCGCCGCATCAGCGCATGCTTTAAGCACAAATAGACTGATACCGTCACCTCCAGTTGATTTATTGGCGTTGAGAGCAGATAGGTGTTTGTGAACGGAATAGACAGGTGATTTGTGAAACGACAAAAAATCCTCCAGTTGATTTACAAAAATTCGACGAAAAACCTCCAGTTGATTTATTGGCGTTGAGAGCAGATAGGTGTTTGTGAACGGAATAGATTGGTGTTTGTGAAACGACAAAAAATGCTCATTTATTTAGAAAATGTATTAATATTAAATTTATAAAATAAAAAAACATTTATACGAGCTTTTGGCTAATCTCTAGACAAAAAAAAAAAAAAAAAAAAACGTACTTTTTAATCTCTTAAACAAAATTTTTCCTTATATTAGGTTTAACCGCTTTACTAATTTGATTTTTTAATAGTTGCGGGTAATTAATTAATTTGCATATATTTAAACATTTACATGATTACATGACATATATTTTCAATAGTTTATAAAATGCTTATTATAGCAATATTCAGAATAGTTTATTAATAACAACTTTTATTCAGTGAGTTTTTATGGAATAAATTATGTCGACTTTCAAAAGCTGCAAAGTATTTTTATCGAGTTCTTGGACATTTTTGCTGTGCGGTTTTCTAATGCTGTTGATGTAGGTACAGAAGAGTATGAAATACGTCCTCATTTGTTGTTCGCACGTGTGTGAAAAATTTTAAACTATTTTTATTATTGATTATTATATATCATTGAAAAGAGGCTAAAATCAGCATTACAATAGTGAAAACTTCATAACAAAATAACAATTTTACAAAAAGATTTGCTCATTTAAGTAACAAAGTTTGATTACAAGGGTTGCTTAAAAAATTTGCAACCATTTGCTAAAAGCGCAATATTTTGCTTTATTTACAATATTTACTCACATAAATGTGGGTAGTTTCTAAAGCATATGTCCCAAAACTTTCAGCATTTATCATCACACCTGAGGAGAGAGCTTGTAGAATTAAGTAAAGTCGCTTAATCAAATTTTTATATACTCTAGTGATTTCAGAAGAGCAGCTTGCATTGTAAAAAAAACTCCTAGCAGTATTACCATCATTGGTATTACCACTTACTTTTTTTGGTTTGTCGACGATTAACCCTAGCTGCTCACGAAAACGCTTCTGTACCAAGGTCTTCTTTTGTTTCTTTTGTCGTTTTTTTTTTCTTCACCTTTAGCTGACCATGTTTGAAAAGACAGGTTGTAGGAAAAATGTAATATCATTTCCATACACCGAATCCAGGCATGTAATGTCGACAGTCCATATTGGTACGAACTTTCATTTTCAGGTCTAGCAGACACTTTAGTCAAATCATTAATTTGTCGTGGAGTAATACAAATATTGTACATGTAGACGCAGAGGGCGTATCCATCAATACCTGAGCCATTTTTCCATCTACCGGTTTTTTCATTTAATCTAGCAATTTTTTGCATTTAATCTGGCAGTTTTTTTGCATGTAATCTGCAGCCGTATTCTCATCTCTCCGTTAATCTTAACGGAGCTTTTGTCCAAAATTTCATTACAATATTTCTAAGTAAAGAAATGACGAAAACCTCATTTAAAATTTTTTAAAATAAAACTAATACTAAACTAAAACATTTATTCTAAATAAATTATATTTTTTTAAAACTTTTTTTAATGTAGTTAAAAAGAAATATTTTACTAACGCTCCGTTAAGCTTAGCGGAGAGATGAGAATAAGGCCCCTGGCCTTTAACCATTTAATCCGGTGGTTTTTTGCATTCAATCTGGCGGTTTTAAAATTTTTATCAATTTTATAATGCATGTTAAGAATTGCTTAAATTATTAGTAGTAATAAATATTCTACATACTCCAGTTAAAAAAAAATTTAGATGTATAACAAATAATATATTTGTGTATATATATATATATATATATATATATATATATATATATATATATATATATATATACATTAGTAAAAAATCACTTATCAAACTTTTTTCATTTTACACTGAATTTAATAAATGGAGACTCATTAGAAAGAAATGAAATTTTCAGAAATAATTTATTTATATACATTATATATATATGCATATATATATATATATATATATATATATATATATATATATATATATATATATATATATATACATTAGTAAAAAATCACTTATCAAACTTTTTTCATTTTACACTGAATTTAATAAATGGAGACTCATTAGAAAGAAATGAAATTTTCAGAAATAATTTATTTATATACATTATATATATATGCATATATATATATATATATATATATATACATATATATATATATACATATATATATATATATATATATATATATATATATATAATATATATATATATATATATATATATATATATATATATATATATATATATATACATATATATACGTACGTGGACTGATTTTTTTTAATTGAACATATACTAGAATGTTATATATCATTAGAAAGCCCTTCAAAAATGTATTTTAATGGTGAAAAAATTATTAAAAACGAACAATTTAAAAAAAAGTTATGACGTTTTTAGTAGCAAATTTTCGATATATGGATTTCTTGAAGAAACTGGTTCCAAAATTAATTTTTTTTTCACTGAAATTGTTATAACTTTGTCAAATCTTATCCAAATGCCTATACCTTGGTATCAAAAGATAGATTTAATAGTAGGCTACAAGTTCATATAGCTCTATAGATAAAAGGGGTGTCTAGAGGGCCAGAGGGGGTAACGGAACACCATCGAAACCTTAAAAAAATGCAAGTTTTTCACACGAAAGAGTATTTTGCTGATAAAATTTGTTATCTTTATACACAAAAAGTTGTTCTAATTTGCTTCCATTACTTTTCCAAATACTATTGGTCTATTTTAGATTAAAGGGTGGATGTGTTTGTTACGTTTTAACACCCTTGTAGTGAAATGTTACCATCTTATAAATATTTGAGCCTAAAAAACACTGATTATATTTTGTGTTAAAGACTTTAAATTATATTTTTTTACTTAACAGAATATACAAGTGGTGCATAAATTGACATTAGGGGCGGAACGATGCCAAGCTTAACGCCCCTCCCCCCTTCCTCTCAGTCTTCTCCAACCTAAAAAAAATTTTTAAAAGATATTTAAAAAATGGTTTTAAACTGAGTTTATTTAAAAAGAGAAATTAGTATTTAAGATTATTTTACCATGTTAGTGAGGGGAGGGGTGTGTGCCACGCCCAACGTCCCCCCCCACCTCTTCTTATTTAAACTTTAAAAAAATGTCAATAAAAATTTCAAAAATGTCTTTAAATTGTGTAAAAAGCGAGACATAACTTTAATAATCTTACCACATTACAAGATGCAGGTTGGAGTATCCACCCTAAAAATTAACCACAGTTTTAAAACTTTCATTTTAAAAAGTTTTAAAATACAAATTATAGAATTTATGTCTTGGCTTTTAGTAAATGATATTATAGGAGGATGATAGGCCCAGCTGAATGACTCACCATCATTCCCTCCTAACCGGACCCACCGCAAAAATGATCGATTGCTCATCGGTCCAGGGTGCTGGTCCCTATATCTTCTATAGGCACCATAGGTAAGCTCTAAAAGACAATAAATTGTAACTACATTAGTATTGAATGGTAAAAAATAACAAATAATACAAACCAATTATTTGATTGGCTGCATTAATAAAATTAACAAATAATAAATCAATGACAGCTTAAAAAATGTTAATTAAAGTAAAAAATCAAATACTGCTCTGGGTTTTTACTTCTACTGCACTTTGAAGGATAACATAATATAAATGTACTAATTTGTGAATATAAATAAAAATATAATGAATTAAATAATCATTCAGCAACATTTCTAAACCATAAATTTACCAGCAGAAGGTTGTGTTGATTGTTGTGGAGGTTGTGGGACTAAAGGTAAAATTTTTTAAAAATAAAAATACAATTTACTTGCTATCGATAAGATATGCATGCACATATTAGAAAAAATACTTTTACACATGTAAATTATGCATACACATATTAGAAAATAATAGTTTATAAACGTACCACTTGTA